TTCCCGCGCTGTTGGGTGTGAGGACCCCAGTCGCCGGGCCGCCATTCCGGAGCGCCATCGAGAGGTCCTACGGGCGCGCCCGGACCCCCGAGTGCGGCTGGAAGCCCTGGGCCGTTGGTAGAGTGGAAGGGGATAAAGGGATCGGTGGGCGAGCGTCCCCTGTGGCCGGACCTCCCCTCACCGCCCTTCCCCAGGTATCGGGAGGAGTTGCCAGCGGCCATCAGGGGCAGAGCGGAGAGCATGTGACAGGGAGCTGGAGCGGCTGCTGGCCTGGAAGCTGGCGGCGAGGGGCGGCCCGCCTCGAGGGCGGGGCCTCCGTAGGGCGGGTCTTCATCGGGGCGTGGCATCGGCGGGGCGGGGCCTCCAGAGCGAGTCTTCGTGGGGGCGGGGCCTCCCTGTGGGTCGGCCTCCCTGTGGGTCCACCACCCCGGGCACCCTGACCTGGCTTCTCACAGCAGCTGGTGACCACCAATCCCCCTGAGCTGGCTGTGCACTGTTCGACCACCACCTTCTGCCTCCTGCCAGATGTGGGGCCACGGTCACCCAGCTGTCTGCCCTCTACGGTGTGGACCCACCACAGTCACAGCCTCAGGTGAGTTGGGTGGGCACGACTTGGGTACATAAGCGTCCTTGTCTGTGAAGCAGACAGTGTGGGCCCTTGTGTGTCTCTAGGACCAGGAGTCGGAGCCAGAGCTTGTCCTGATGGGGTGTCTGGCTGCTTCTCCTCGCTGCTCACAGCAGTCCTGGTGCCTGGAGCTCGAGATGGAGGCCTTCATGTCAGATGAGGCAGTGGTCACAGTGCCCGGCCTGCCAGCCCCACAGTACACCCTCAGGTACTACCTGCTGTACCTGGGCCAGGTTCAAGAGTGGGCCACAGCTCTGAGCCAAGGTGAATGAACTGTGTGTGGGCAGGCTGGGGTGGCCCGTGCCCCTGGGCCTGAGTCTGTGTGCTCCCCACCTAGTGGAGACAGCACTGTGGACCTGGGCCGTGGGGCAGAGGCTGTGCCCAGACCTGCTGCCCAACCTTGGCCCCAGCCTGGCCACCCACGTGGACACTAGGCCAGCCAAGAAGCATGGGACCCAGGCCGAGTGAACTTGGTTATAGTCCAGGCCTGCTCACCTGCTACACAACCTTAGGTCTCCAGGTCTCACTGGATGGCAGGGAGGCTGAAGAGTAGGCCAGCCACTATGGGAGCTCAATAAACACTTCCCAGACTCATGCGTGATTACACACCCGGCCTGACCGCACACCCCGCCCCCAGCCCTCCTGGGTGCCTCCAACTCCCATAGACACAGCACCCGTGGCCCGGAAACACCTCCCACACCTGACCTCAGGTGCAGAGGTGCACAGGGAGGAAAGTCCAGGCCCTAGTGGTGGGGAGGGCCCTCATGGTCTGTTCAGCAGGTGTGGGGGTCCTGACAAGTCTCCAAAGCCCGGGACAGCCCCCTGGTGCTGTGTAAAATATTTATTAATTATCCAAAAAGGCTCAGACCGCAAGTCCTGGGGGTAGGGGGGTGGCTGGGACAGGGTCTCCTCTGAGGCCACCCACACCCGAGGGGCGCAGCAGCCCTGAGATGTCCGTTCACAAAGGGCAGACGTGAAGGCCCCTGGTGGGCGGCCACCACATGCCGAGCCCTGGCCTCTGCAGCCTCAGGTAGCCGGTCAGGGCGGTGGGGGGATGTGGGCGCCCAGCAGGTCGTAGGCAAAGACGTTCCAGAAGACGGCGAAGAGCAGGAAGGTGCCGTAGGCCAGCAGCACCACCCACCAGCCGCACTGGTCCCGCAGGCGCTCCTCGTAGCTACGCAGGATGGTCAGGCCCATGCTCACCCCCACCACCGCGCCCGCCAGGTGCGCCATGAAGCTGGGCTGCGGGCCCGAGGCGGGCAGCGGCGGGGAGAAGCGCAGCCACACGGCCCGGCCCACCTCGGAGCTCACTGCAGAGGGACGCGGCAGGTGGGAGGTGCCCTGGCTGCAGGCTGAGAGGCCCCCCAGCCCTCCCCCCAGCCCCCTACTCACTGCACACCAAGGCCAGCACCATCCTCAGCAACTTGTAGGGACATCTCATCCCAGCCCAGTTCTATGGGGGTGTGCAGATGAGAAGTGGTGAGGCTCACCAGGGGCCCCTCCCCACACCCCCCACCGGGCAGGCCCGTTACCATGACGACGTTGGCCAGGTGTGCTGAGCACAGGGCGTAGACCCCGCCGGAGCCTCCCACCACCGGGGCCCGCATGTCGGTGATGGAGACAGTTAGGGAGCCTGTGTGAGCAAGCGGCGGGTGAGGGTGCAGCCAGCCAGGGCAGGGGGTGGGGGTGCGCGCCTGCCTCACCTGCCAGCACGCCTGCCAGGTATAGCAGGCTGATGCGGAGCAGGCCGTGCACCATCTCCAGGGGCACCCCGATCATCAGTTGCAGGAGAGCGTTGAACCCCAGCTGCTCCAGCCTGGCCACACGGGAGCAAACAGGCACAAGGGGTGGGGTCAGCCGTCCGGCCCCACCCCCAGCCCTCGCCTCAAGTTGCTGCACCTGCCCTGGGGCTTTAGTCTTTCTGATGTAACAGCAGTGCAGGGAGGGGGGCTCCGGGCAGCCGCGCTACTCACCCAACGTGCATGAACATGTAGGTGAGGAAGCGCCAGGCGCGGGCACGGTGCCCAGGGTGGTACACGAGGGGGCTCTTCATGTACTCGGGGTGGTAGGTCTGCAGCACCCACTTGTTGAGGCGGGCCCCGTAGCACAGGAACACGATGATCTGGGGACACAAGTGTTAGGCTGGTCAAGGCCAGGAGCGCCGGAGGCTCCCGGGGCAGCGGCTGGGGGGCCCACCTGGGCAAGGGTGACCGAGGCCATGAACACGGGGGGTGGGCAGCTGCGGTGACGGTAGAAGTACCAGCGGCGGTCCACCTCGCAGGGCAGGATCTCATAGGCCACGTAACGCACAAACCGCTTGTAGACACCTAGGCCCGGCTCGTCCAGCAGCCCGTCCCGGGGCAGTGCCCGCTGTCCATTAGCAATGGCCCGCTTGAAGCTGCTGGAGCGCTTGCTGCTGATCTGGGGACAGGGACCTGAGAGTGGGCCACGGACCTCCCCATGGCACCCCTGCCTGGGAGGCTCGCCCAGCTTCCCGCATCCACAAACCCCCCTGCAGTGAGGAGTCGCCTTCCCGCCTCCTCTGGCCAGGATACCATGCCCCTGCCGCCTGCCCACCGTGGCACTGACCAGGTCCACCAGCTCCTGGTAGCAGACCTGGCCCTGCTCGTTGCTCTGAGCCAGGGCCACCAGCATGTCCAGCTTGGCCGGGTCCAGGGGCAGTTCATGGCTGTGCACCAGGCCAGCGAAGGTGTCCGCACCGATGAAGCCTGTGTTCTCGGGGTCCAGCTGCTGCAGTGAGGAGCCGCCAGCCAAGGCCTGAGTGCGGGCCCGACCCCTGGACCAAAGGGCTGGGCCAGGCTGGCTGCGAGCATCAGGCTCAGGCTCCCAGCACTTTTGGGACAGGCGCCCCGTGCCTGCCTGTTCCCCGGGACCCTGCTTGATTCCAGGAGCTGGCAGGGCACTGGTGCCTGGGTCCCAGTCCTCCAGCTCCTCAGCTGTTACCCCGTCTTCCACCCTACCCATCCTGGAAGGGGAGGGCCAAGGTCCAAGACCAGCCAGCTGCCCGCTCTCCCTCCCTCCCTCCCTCCCTTCCTTCCCCGGACTCTCCCTTCTCCAGCCAGGAGCCCTGGTCCAGTCAGCCCTCTCCTGGGGTCTCAGACACAGGGGCCAAGGTCGTGCCGGGATGGGGTGGGTGCCGAGCGGGGCTCTCGGGGAGCTCGGTCCTGCACAAGCTCAGCTCAGCGGCAGGAGGGCCGCATTGGGGGCGGTGCCAGCTCCCCAGACCACCCCGCGACGCACCTGCTCCTGGATGAGCTGCAGCAGGGAGCTCCTATCCATAGA